GAATGTGAGCACTGTGTGCTCAGGCGCTGCCGCTCTCAGCGCCGTCAAAATAAAAGTCCCACCTCGAATGCATCGGGCAAACAGAAAAACTTATCGGCCGATGCGATATTTGAAAAATGCCAAATATCGGCCGATATATCGGACGTGGCGATATATCAGTCGACCACTAATACTGTGTCTGTGATGCTGTGTCCTGGAGCGACGAGACAAAACCAATAAAACCCATTCCATAAAATGCGCTGCACACATCTGAATATTTGGCTTGAACTGTTCTGCAACAGTGTTACTATACAACTTAACCACTGACTTCTAGTCGTGTCCTCTTTTGGAACGCCGACATGGTGGCGGCGGTGGCAGCAACAATAAAGTTACGCCTTCTTTCTTTGCGTGAACATTTGGGCAGTGTTACGTCCAAGGACGTATTTGTTTTTTTCGTTTGTTTTCTCCGTTTCTCTCTCTATCCCTTTTACTTCCTATAAGCAGGAGGTTCTGTTACCTGTTCCTCTAACCCTAGACTAACTGGGAACGTAACAGCGGCGTTATGCAAATCTTCCCACATCGTGACGTAGACATGTGGGGGCGTGTTTGAACGAGCCGTTTTAGGAGGGCGTGGACCAGTCTGAACTTTTATAAAGAATATCTCTTTGGGTTTGAGACTTTAGTCTTTGCAACTTCCAAAGAGAAAGGAAAACGTGAAATCGCATCATATGACCCCTTTAACACAATTGTTTTTAAATAAAATTGTAAATGAGTATAAATGTAAATGATGTGTTTTTACATCAAGAGGTTGAACAAATGGAAACGAGTCTTGAGGACTGTAGGCGTCCTATAAAATCACATAATGCCATATACAGTACAGTTGGCAATCACATATTTAGTGCCTCTCGCTTCTGCTCCATATGAGCTGATTTCAATAGCAGTGTTAATCTGAGGCGTAAAATGAGGAGAGAAAAACAATGAGGCTTCTGTTTCTCCAGGGGATATCTATGCTTGCCAGCAATGACTGCTGCCCTTTTTATTTACCTTTATGAAGGGTTTTGTCACTGACACAAAGAACAGATCCCACAGGCGACAAAACACTTATGATTAGCCTCTTTTTTAAAGAGGTATGGGAATTTAACCATTCTGCCTCTAATTTCACTTAATGATTGTGGATCCTTAATGATTCTTCTAGAGAAGCATATATAAAAAGACCTCATTAAACGGAACTCATATTTTAGGCCTCAATATTTTATGCAATTTAGCTTCCCATGTAATGCATCTCGTTTTAAGGATGTTTAGCTATTTTTACTGTAAAACAAGATGAATTACTGGTCTAAAAAATAGTGTTTTTTTTTTTTTTTTGAAAGGATGAGGTTTAGTAATTAAGTTAAGAACTGACAATTTAGTGAATAAGTAAGTGGCTAAGCCAAGTTCAGGACTGATTTGTGAGTCTTTTTAAGCGTTTAATTAAAAACCAGATCATAATAGTTCATTTCTTTTTGAAGTATGACAATATAGAAATGCTGTTTTTAATTGCCTTTGGTTCATTTCAAGACACCCAGTCTTTTACAAGCGTGAATGAAAAAATAAACATTGTGTTTGATGCTCAATAATAAGATGCAAATTATTAAATGTTTGTATTATTTCTCACATGAATGCTAGTTTTAAATAGATCTGTTGTACTTGTAAAACTTAAAAGGAAAGTTCACCCAAAAGAAGATATTTTGAATGCCGGTAACAAACAGTTGACGATAGCCAGGGACTTCCATAGTAAAAAAAAAAACACTATAGAAGTCAATGGCTACCATCAACTGTTTGGTTACCAACAATCAAAATATCTTCTTTTGTGTTCAACAGAATAAAGAAATTCATAGAGGTTTGTAACATGAGGGTGAGTAAATGATGACAGAATTTTCCTCTTTGGGTGAACTATCCCTTCAAAGCACTGTTTATGTAATTTGTATCTTTGATTTATTCTATTTGTCTTATTGTTTATAATTTGCATCGAAGATAAAATAAAATAACAATAACTGTATTGTGATTTATTTTGCTATTGTAAAATAAAATTACTCGTATATTGAAATATTTTAAAATGCGTAATTTAGTTTGACTATGGTTTAACTAATTGTGAATCAACAACTGCACTGGTTTCTAACTAATGTGTGAATAAATCTCCACTCTGTGTCTTTCATGATTCATCAATATGATTTTCAAACCAAGCACAGGCTAGGTTGATTGTCTGAGCATTATGTCATAATTGAAAGTGTAACAAAGTACTAGAAAAGGAAAGAAAATTGGACATGCAGGCAGGTGTTTGCTTTACAGAGTAATTAGATGTCATCAAAGGTGACATTTGAGTGATTAGTGTTAGATAGAATGAGAGAAAACAAGAGAGAGTGAGAGAGAGACCCAGAGACCCAAATCAGTGGCTCCCGTCCCACAGGCATCAGCACACCTCTGAGAGAGAGAGGCCTCCGCCAAAAAGATGCACAGCTGCTCACGCAGTGAATTTTGTAGCTGAAGAAACACTGACTAGATTTAGGTGGAAATCCTTCTCTCTTGCATTGCTGTTATAGCGATTACACCGACCAAAGAGAGCAATTATAGTACAATCTGTTGATTATCTCGCTGTGAGAAATGCTCTTTTTCTTTGAAATAACATGCACTGAAGAATTGACTTTAGAGAAGCCCTGTATAATTAGGTTGGTTTAGGTTCAAATCCACCAGACACATTTTTAGTGATATATGCATGCATCACAGCCCTTCAGTAAGGCGACTGACAGACATTCAATAGGTTAAATAAACGTAACCTTTCAATGCAAAAAAAATAGAGAGAAAGAGAGAGCTAGGGAATATGCACAATAATGAGAATTTCTCACAGTCACAGATTTCAAGTCTGACAAACCTTAAAAGCACTATGCTAAAAAATCCATATCTAATAAATCATACTACTTTACTTCACTAATCAACCAGAGCACTAATCATCCTAATCACCTTCATTATATCATTTTATCATTAGCTAAGACTAAAACTTTTAAAAACATTTTTGTTCACTGAAAAATATATGAAAAACTTGAGAAATCATGCCTTTGCAAATAACTGAAATAAGTTTGAATCACTAAAATGATTAAAACAGAACTAAAACAGAAAGTGAAATAAATCAAACCAAGACTTATATATTTTTAAACATATTTAAAAAAAATATCAAAAGCACATAACAAAATGACAAAAAATGAAACTAAAGTTAAAATAAAAGCTAAAAATATTAAACTAAAAGCTAATTCAAAACATGAATAAAACTATAACAGTATATAAATAATACACTAAATAACAAAATTTCAAACTCTACTGCATTCTCATCACCTGTGGCTATCATATTAGAATATTACTATAATATATTGTGGTAATTAATGCACTGGTTGCTCCTTTCCACATAATTACAATGAATAGGGACTGAAGCTTTCAAATGATGCAGAAACACCACTAAAGTGGCACAGAAAAAGTAGTCCACATGGTTTATGTCTTCTGAATATTAACAAGACAAAATGTTCAAACATCTTCATTTCTAATCTTGACATTTTAAGGTTTCTCTCACACAAAGCTATTAAAAAAGCTTCTGAAATGCTTCATTCTTGGATAAACTCTTCATTTAAATGTAAATACCAGCTCTACGTAGTTCCCTTAAATTATAGAATGCATCACTATTCAATATTAATTATGAAAATTTGAGAAATCACAGGAGTTGTTCTTCCTGCAACAGATCCTCTTGAAACAGAAACATTTGAGAATAAAGAGCAAAAAAGAATAATAAAATAAATAAAATGAAACTACTGAAGTGTTGCACTTTCATTGCAGTGTTTTGTACTCGAGGCAACAAAGGTACAGAGGTAGAGTGTGAGAAACAGCATTTGAAACAGGAAGAAAAGATGAGAGAGAGTGAGAGAGAGATTGCTTGTAGCATACTTCTGGAGGGACAAAGCCGGTCTAGACTGAATACTAAGCAAAACAGACAGCAGCAGATGCTAGCAGCAGTCTGTTGTCAGGGGAAATGCCTCCCACACGACAACAGAGAAAAGAGCACACAGGCACACGCAGGCCAAAGGGATCCCCCTGGAGCACAACATCCCTATTACAAAGAGGACCGGGCAAAATCGTTCACTTTATAGAACTTTATAGACCCTATAAAAGACAGACTAGCAGAAGGAAGGAGTTTTTTTAAGAGGCCTACTGGCTTCAAAATACTGGTGGTGCTGCCAAAAATGAGCATTTGGATTTGTGTATGTGAATCTGTCACACATCTGTTCCTGAGGACAGTTCTTACCTTGGCTTTGTTGATAGTGCAGTGCAGGGCATTGTTCTCCTGATCATACAGAAGGCTGAAGTCCAGAGTACCGAGCGTAGCTGCGAGGAAACAGACATAAAAACATCAACAAAACAGTTCATCTCCAGGGCAGACCACAGTATATGCAACAGCAATTAGCAAGCTGTTTAAGCCATATTTCGCTCCTCCAGAGACCATCTGATGTCAATTGTACACAAAAAGGCAAAGAGCTTTCTCAGTGTGACAAGCTCTAACTTGAATTTGATTAGTCTGCTGCTATCAGGGTTGCACACATTTTTACAAGGTACTGGGCTGCAATGAGAACTTCTGATCTGCTGCATCAAATTCAATATTCTGTGTTTTGTTTGAGGTACTTAGTATGAACTTTATATCAACAAGCAGAATTGTATATTTCATGTTGAGTTATGCTACAGTATATTAGAATGAATTCTGAAAAATAATGTAATACTGAAGGCTAGAGTAAAGAAAAGGAAAACTCAGCTTTGCCCTCCCAGGAATAAATTACACTTAAAATATAAATAATACAAAACAGTTTTTTTTGTAAATGAAATATTTCACAATATTGCAGTTTTTTCTTTAAGAGATTCATTTAAAAAAATCTTACCGACCCTAAACTTTTGAAAGATAATTATGTCCTTTTGAAAGACAACTACGTTATGTTAAAGCTGAAAAAGTTATGTTTGAAACCTCCAATTGCAGTTATTTGCAGAATTATCGTCTTTACGTGGGCTGTGCATTGTGTCACGTTCTTCTACTGTGTGGATTACGGAGACGAAGGAGCGAACAGACGAGGAGTAGAATTCAATCCAACAAGTTTTAATGCCATCCAGGGAACAAGGAAAACACACATAAAACGGGTAGACATGTACAATACCGGACCCTGAACTAAAGACAGGGAACACTATTTAAACACATGACAAGACGAGGGGATGACGAGACACACCTGGGATCAATGAAAACAAACTGGGAACACCTGGGATCAAATCAACATAATCAGGACAGGAACAGGAAACTAACCAAATATGGGCATATAGAGAACAAAACACAACACAAGCCTGACACATTGACACGGATGAATCTAATATTTTGAGGTAAATGTGTGGCTGTCAGGATTAGAGCCCGACCGATATATCGTTTTGCCGATCTTATCGGCCGATATGAGCTCGGGGGATCCCTTCAGCTCGAGGAGCCCTCTCGAACGCGAATCGAGTGTACGTCTAGAGGCCCTCTTTCGAATGAGACCACCTCGGCGTGGATAGCCCCTGGGGTTCGGGAGTTACGGGTGGTTAAATTCACGGTCTGGCGCCGACCGATCTAGCGATCCCGGGGGCCTACTGACGCGCAGAGGGTGGCGTTCGAGAGGGCTCCTCGAGCTGAACGCGAGGTAGTGACACCAGTCAACTTCCCTTCAAAGGTCTCTTGTTCAGGCAGCATTCAAGCGTTGTCTTATTCGACCGTAAGTGCCCTGCGAAGTGGTCTTAACATGAAATTCCGCCATGATTCCAGTTCCAAGGGAACGTACAGGTCACATTCAAAGGGCATTAAAGTGCGCGAGACCTGAATTTATATTGTATTTATTTACAGAGGTAGGGGAGAGTAACAAAGTAACACTTTTTGACTTTCTCAGTTTGTGTAAATCCACATGGGGTTCACAATATATATATATTTTTTATCCACAGTAATTTTACACTTGCCTAGTACAAATATGTCGCTTTGTTTCATAATTACAGTGTATAAGTTTTTCTTTATTTACCCTCAAAAAATGGAAGTGAAATGTGACAACATGCCCTGTAGGTGGAACACATTGTAACATCTGAGGGGCACGTTGTAACTTGACCATATGACAGCTTAAAATCTTATCTGATCGAATGAAAAAAATATACAAGACAAACTAAAATATTTTGTTAATAAAATTATATATATATATAATTTTAAAAAATAAAAATAAAAATAAATAAAATAATGCCGTTTTTTAAGAATTTTCACACTTCTCTAGTAAGTTTCGTCTGTGTGTGAAGACAGTAGCGCAAATCCATGAATGAATGTTCCGAAGTGAAATAAACTTCAACGGAATAAAGTTGAATGGAATTGAATTGAATTAAAGTTGAATAAACTTCAACTTTACTGTTCAGTGCACTGATGTCAGACTCATTTTGGATAGTAAAGGTTATTGTTAAATTGTTAAATGCCCTTACATATCTCTGTCACCATTATAAGTGTTTGATCACCACATTTGAATGATCATTGCAAAAAATGTGTTTATGTATACATATTCTGTTTATGTATATACTATATTCTATATATAGTACCAGTCAAATGTTTGGACACACGAATGGGAAAGTGTCCAAACTTTTGACTGGTACTGTACTATAATATACACAAAGAATATCGGCCGATATATCGGTATCGGCCTTTTTTTACTCCCTAATATCGGTATCGGCCCCAAAAAACCCATATCGGTCGGGCTCTAGTCAGGCTATTCACTGTACTTAGGAATCACAGATTCTGCATCTTGGAAGTATGACCCAAATAAGAATTTTCACTGGAAAATGTCATCTGAGCAAGTAAGTAACATGTCTGCCACTTTTGTTCTGACCAACTGAGAAAAAAAAGCATTGCAATACATCACGCTACCAATGGTGATTAAATCTAACGATCTGTTAGCTCATATCACATCAAACCATTCAAATGATTATTATTGTTATACTTAGTTCTCAAAATGTTAATGTTAACAGCAGCAGCATTGCGTGACTACGTGTATTTAGTGTGTATTAGTGTTACCTGTAGACTACTGGTGACTATGGGTGAATCTCCAGTTGTCACTGATGATTTTCGTATGGACCTTTCTGGATTACAATCCACCATCAAAATGATAAGTTTAATTATTTCAGCTGCTGTGAGAAAAAGCTATTAATGATCCGCCACCTGCAGCATCCTCACATGCGATTATAGCCTACTGGGACTCCTTTTTTATGTTTACAGACATGACGTAAAGATGCAAAGACAAAAGGTGCATACTTGTATTTTCCGTAAAAACCTACCAGTACCACTCAAATTAGAAAACATTATTACAAGCTTACCGTTGTGAATCGGGCAAAGGTAAGGAGATAGATTTGAACACTGGTTGTTTATGTATGTGCCCAAAAATTGATTTTGGATCATTTTGAACCAAAAAAAAAGAAAAGAAAAAAAAGAAAAGAAAAGTTACGGACTGCAGATTTAGGTATGTCTGTTATAATTGGTTTGGTTGCACAGAACTTCTGATCAGAAAACTTTTCCCGCTCATTTCAGGACAGAACAATGTTCACTCAGACTGCTAATTATTTGAATTAACTTCTGCTGTAATGTTCACCAGTCTATGGTAGGCTTGTTGCGATAGACAGTGTTGGCGGAGATGTTAAGACGGTGTTAAGCCGCAACTTGCCCACTGCGGCACCGTCCCCCACCATTTTGATTTTTATAGTAATAAAAATAATTTAGTTCAGTTAGAGAACAGACACTGCAGTTAAAAACTAAATGCGTCTGCTCAATACAGCGTGCCAAACAACAGACGCATCAGATTAGATTTCATTCGAGTGAGGTGAGACAGACAAGATGATAGCGGAAGCGCATGTTTGGCAATATATATATATATATATATATATATATATATATATGCTAAGTTGAGTTTGAAGTTGTATTTTGTTGATGCTTGAATTGACGCTAGTTCGAAAGTGAAAGAAAAATGTGCACGGCGCTTTTAAGCTATTTAGAAGTGAAGGAAAGTAAGGAAAAGAGGGAAAACTCAAACGAACTAACAACAAACAAGTGCTTTACGCCAAATTGCCGCTATTTAAACTTATCATATTTTAGTGGAGCTATTTTTCACCAGAATGAGCTGCGAAGTAGATTTGACGGTGATAGTCAAATGTCCTGTTATGTGAAACTACAAAGGCTGTGACTTCCTGAAATTGTGTAAGACAAAGAAAAACCAGGAGAGAAATTGTCCTTTTCTCCATTATCCTTTGAATTTTTGGACCTTCCCCACTGATAAGTGTCAAGTCAATAGTGTCACGCCTCTGAAAGTGAACCTCCCTGCTGATTCTGCCTCGTATGAATGCGGCCATGAGAACCAGAGTCAAATCTCATATGGACTCCTAGCAGGTGGCCTTCAGCTCCACTCTGCAGAGAGCATCTTGAGTTCAAGGACATTTATTATTAAACATACTAGAGTAATCAACCAACCAACCTTACCCTTAAACCAATTACCCTCAGCAAGATGACTGAGGAAAAAACTCCAGTGGCTTGAATTTTGATTGAATTTGTCTAAAATAACATCAGATTCAGGGCACTATATCTTAACCACTATAAGCCACGGCACCCATAAGAGCTCCTGCTGCAGGTGGCCATGATGTAGGGGTGCATTTGTTAGACCTTAAAGGGATAAATTTCTTTCTTCTGCTAAACACAGATGATGATATTTTGAAGAATGTTGGTAACCAAACAGTTTCTGCTACCCAATAACTTCTGTAGTATTTTTTTTTCTCCAATGGCTACCAGCAACTGTTTGGTTACATACATTCTTCAAAATATCTTCTTTTATGTTCAACAGAAACTCATACAGGATTAGAACAACTTGAGGGTGAGTAAATGACAGAATGTTTATTTTTGGGTGAACTGTCCCTTTAATGCCATATGTCATCCTCCCAGTTGTGTGCGTGTATTCTTATATGACGAGAGGAATCAATGGGATTAAACCAGGCCTGTGTTTAATTATCCAAACTGGTACCAGCAATGCGTGACTTCAGTCTCTAATGCAGAGAGCACTGTCATCAGTGATGGGCTTTTCTTTTCTGCAATTATGATGAATTGTATTATCTTATGCTATTTTACCCATGAAGGCTATGAATAGATTATCATTGGTAAGGATGGAGGAAATTATGGACAGAGCAAACACATTGGTGCAATGCTCATTCTACAGCAAAAAAGAGATGTCAGTCGTGTTCGAAAAGCTAAATACGGTTTTGGTCATAGATGGTTTAATAAAGACAAATTAATTCTACAAGTTAAGTGAATTAAA